TGACGTAAATCAACTCCGCGAGATACATGAACCTCAAAGGTATCAATATTAGCAGTGAAAGGCAGTCTAGTCCCATTGGGGAAATACCGGTGAGAACCATCAATACTAGTACATGAGCTCAGCACTGAACACCTTCACCACCACCACCATTGTCAGGTCTCCCCACTAGACTGAGGTCCACATAGGAATGGTTGGCCAGAGTCTGGCCCATGAAGGAGAGACGGGGAAAGGTTTGAGAGTGAACCAGAGACCAGAACAAGCCCAGGAGCAAAACAACATGTAGAGCCGTTTCCACTAGTCTGGCTTATCAAAATGTAAAGCTATCTGTGCATGCTGTTACAACAGCATTTGGCCTAACTTGCATCCGGAAAGAGAGTGGCTAAAATAACGGTGAGCAATACCCTACACATACGCATTCCACACAATCACTGCTATACTGATCCACATACGTATATAGGTAGGGATTTCCGACAACAACTGAAACCTTACAAATGCAATGTAATTAGCACCAAAAACATTTCTACATCAAAAAAAATTCATAATGGTAAAAATTTGACATTCATATCTCAACCGAAACCAAAGTTATGACTAAAAGAAGTAACATTTTCAATTTCCAAATTCCCCATTAAGAAAGTGGCACCATTGTAAGCAAAAAAGTAAATGTTTTGACTTTTTCATAACTTCAGAAGGAAATTGACCGATTTTCAGTAAAACTTTCGCCAGGTAACTTGTTAATTATCATATTTTTAGATGTGTACACCTTTATGGCTTCCAACCATTAAAAAGTATTTCATTAATTAGCTAGTTAATATAGGTCAAGTTAAACCTTATAAATGCAATGTAATAGCCCCATAAACTCATAAACTCTTCTACAGGTAAAATATTCAAAATATTGACCATTTTGTCACCTATAGCTCAACCAACATAAAGTTACATTATTCCTCACATGTACCATAAGAACAATACCTACCATCAAAAATAGTTCATAACTTCAAAGAGGGTTGTATTTATTCCATTGTTGGATGCTTAAATTTGTATGGCTTCTAAAACATTATTTGAGCGGAATATCCTGTCACGTGAACGCGTTCTAAAAGACGCCCGCAAGCGGCCGACAGAAAGTATTTTGACTAAAGAAGGCACAGCAGAGAAATACGACTTATTTTAGGTTCAAAGCTACATCAAATGGTTATTTACTCGACTATACATCCTGCCTGAAAAGAGCAGTTTGCTTCAATGACGATCCGGAGCTAGTAGTGTGATGTTATAAATTCCTTTGCATTTTAGCGTATACTACGTTATCTCGTGCATGTGTAGATAGCTGTAACAGCAATAGTCTCCCTCCCCCCGCTACATACGCTATACCAAAAATTATTGTATATTCACACCACTTACTTCGCTTACGGGAAAAACAGTTCCCAAATTTGAATTCAGGGGGTCTAATTTGCTGGGAATCGATCAATCCGCCAGTACATCGTCTTCTAAACCGCGGAAAGCAAATTATACACCATACGTTCTCGGTGCCGCGCCCGCAATACATTGTTGGTAGGAATTTGAAATGTAAACGGAAGTTTACGTAACTCTAGATTACGAAGAGCGTAACTCCGGATATCCTTGGTCGATTCTCTTCGAACAAATTTTGCGTGATAGATACAGTCGTGCGCTCCACTCTAGAGCACCGGTTGCTGGCGGTAGTAAGACGTCTTTGCCAGGTAAAAATTATTTTATGACCATGCTAAATTTTCGAGGTTGTAAATCGCTAATATAGGAGTGGATCCAGCGAAGTATTTCCCATTTGTTGCATAGATGGTTATAAGAAAGGGTCTGAAAGTAAACCAAGGACTAAAATTATTAGCCGTAGCCGTCTTCCAAAAGTACGTGTAGCTAATCCCCATTATTGTTAGTTCTAGTGGTGGTAAGTACATATTGCTAGGCAAGTGGCTAAAAGGTAATCATCATTACACCGTCTTTAATTATGGACTGATCTATTCTAGTTTCACTCTCTTTTTCTATGCCAAGTCTTGTTAACACACACCCACTTTAACGATTAACCGCCATAGACGCATATTTGCGCAATACCGCGTACCCCCTTTAACCGCCATAGACGCAAATTTGCGCAACTTTAGTATAGTCCGAGAAGACGGTGCTAGCGCCTCCGTATACTAACATAGACAGCTCTTGCCTCGTAGGCGTTGACAAGAAGGGTGGGGCTTCCCATTCAGCAACCTTTGAACCCTTCGTCATACAAACCATCTCCAAGAACTCCAGTAAAAAAACCGCTAACATCCCACGCGCACACAACGACGAGTCTCCTCTCTAGCGAAGGAGCTGCTCCAGCACAGATAATACTCAGGTACTCCACACTGCTTCTCCATGTAGGAAACGATCAAAACTCTTCATTTGCCAACAATAAACACTCACAAACACTATGACTTCATAAAACAACACTGTCTGCTGCGTGTGCGCTGCTTGTGATGACAACGCACTGAAAAAAAGCGTGCAGCTGTTCGTAGAATAGCTAGGCTAGCTTTGTAGGCTATGTAGGCAAAAGGCTAGCTGTGGTACAACACACTGCAAGTGGCAGCTGGCTCCAGGACGTCACCTGCAGGGACAGAGAAAGCTTTGAAAGAAGACATACACGCCGCGTGGGTGAAATACGCGTAAAGAGAGTCGGCTTCCAGCCTTTCTCACGCAACTACCAGGTACGTATATGGTACTATAGCATGCCTAGAGAAAAGGACACCTTCGTGCGTTTGCTAAAACAGCCAAAGAAGAGCCCAGGCTGTTCATACATACTGAAAATAGTCGCTACTTACGCAATTCACTTACCGCTCGAGTTGTCCCGCAGGATCTTGGGAAAGACGAGCGGCCATCTTGCACATCAAGTTGGAGCACGTGCTCTTAGGGTTCTAAAAATGCTAACTTCTCCCACAAAAGTTTTGTGGTTTTTGAGCTACAGCTGCGTTTTTAGAGCACATCTGACCTTACACTTCAAATTTTATACGGCGTTTACGCATGCGCGGGTGCGCGTAAATGCGGCCGTTAAACGGGGAATCCGCGGATAAAATATCAGCTAAGCGCTTCTTGCGCGCTCAGCTGCTCGCGCAATTGCAGAGGCGGAGTAGCTTCCGTGCGCATGCGTATAAAACGGGCGGTGCCTGGCATGGCACAAACATGGCGGCGGTAAAATTCAAAAACGTACCAGAAGGCAAGTGTATGGAGCCTTCGTTTGTACCGCTAGCGCAACGCTGGAACAACTTAGCTGCGGTGCGTAACACGGATTGGTAATAAAATGTGCGCACGCGCGTGACACGTGTATATATACGTATAGTTAAGTGCGTGCAAGCTGGCTGTATGGCTCAGTCTTCCCCAAGGATGTTCCTCAGGACTCTGCTGAGGGCTAGGGCTAGGGCTAAATCATCAGGACTCTGCTGATGGAAAGAACAAGATAAGTATATCAGCTATGTCAAAGAGCTTCGCCATTAGCTCGACCGGCTTCAATCGAGTCAGTGCTCCGCAGGAGCGAGAGCGGACTTTAGAGCTTCCATTCGCTCCGTGAACGCTGCCATCGTGTCAGTGTTGCCAAACTTTAGGTGGATAGTCAAACGTGGGCGCGCGGCCCGTCGGTTTCATGGCCGCTGGAGGCAGACATTCATGTGCGAGTAGCGCACAGAAGCGCTGTTCGAGCGATTCATGAGCCAGTAGCGCAAGAAAGCGCTGAGTACAGCATTGAGAGGCACACAACGCAGCGTGTTTTAGTGCGTGGAAAACGGGTGCGTGTAGCAACAGCGGCTCAGGAAGTGAGAGACAGGTGTTAGTTGAACAACACGCATTGTTCACGTGTGCGCTAAAGAAGTTTAGCAGATTTTCTGCCTGGCAGAACAATTCCCCTTGTACATATAGTGTTGCCAACACTTAATTTATGAAGTGACATCTTGTCCACCCTATATATTTGACATCTATCCACTGGAGAGCGCCTAGGAGCTCTCACCAAGTCACTAGTGACTCACAATCATCTCACAATATGCAGAGGACAATGGACTTGGCGACTAATAGCGTAATAAAAGTTACTCTAATAAACTCTACAAACACACAACCATCAAGGATACAAAGGAGATGGAATCACGACTGTAGACACAGCAAATCATACAGTTATGTACTGCAGCAGCACTCATGATAGACATGGGTCATATGTCAACAATGAGGCTACTGAGGTGGAAAGGCAAGGCATAACAAGTCAACTACACCCAGGACAGCCTCTTTTCAAGGAAAAGAAGAGCTACCGCATGGAATAGATGTGAGAAATTCAAACTACACAGGTACACTGATTGAACACACACATGTAACTACACAAGATGGAGGGAATTGAAGTCTCATGCAGTGAGACTACACTGATGGACACAGCTGTTAGCAACACTGGCAGGATGGAATAGAATTTAGCCACACAGAGCAAACTGCAATAGTCCAGAGCACTATCGAGAATTCTCGGTGGAATGCCATAGAGTTCGACAATGCTAAAAGTACACACATACGCAACACTACAGTGATTAACACTGGATGGGACGGTATTGATGTCTATAACATGAGGTCCACAGACATGAGGTTTGGAGTGAGTGTGGTGGGAGCAGGATCCACATGTAGAGGAGTCAATTTGCCGTGTGTAAGTGTGCAGTATTGTCTATAGCTTTATCTGGAAAACAGCTTTCATTGTGTGTGTGTTCATCATTACACAAGATGGTGATGTTATTGTCTTTTTAGAAAATTGCAGATAAATGTTTTCGTACACTGAGAGATGCTTGTAGCCGGCTACACATCAGGTATGCAGACTGGTGAATCATGCTAGGGGGTAACATGACTGATAGAATGATACGTGGGGCTTGAAGCATGCATGTGCCATATATATACTCACTGCATAATTAGCAGCTGGTAAAGATAATTGGCTGATGTTCACTCTGGTATGTGATTCTTAGGAGCATGTGCATTATGCTTCCTTGCATAGTATTGCTAGGGTGAAGGCTATGAGTAAAGTCAAGGTGTGTTCGTGAAGTGGAGGCTAGCTGTAGTGTTAATGGATGTGACGTAGAGGCGAAAGTGGTGGTTTATGAATTTTTAATAAAGACATGGTGCTTAGATACACTGCTATGTGAAAGTATGTAAATGACTATGTTCATACAGTCTAATGGTTCTAATAGTGACACACACCAGTGCAATTTGCACAATGAAAATATGCCAGCAGATTCAGGACCTGTTTGAAAAATGTAATTAACAGAGAATCATAGCACAGCTAGCTACACACACCTGCTGTAGTAGTGAGTGGAGGCATAGGCTGGGTTTTCTTCAAGCCTCATCCTCATTGGGTTTTCATTGTGGTGTAGAGCCGGATTAGCATCTTCATACACTGAGGGCAGTATGGTGGTGAATATAACATTTTACATTAGTTGATTGTTACCATGACACTTTTTGTTGTGCTCATCTGAAACATCTAGTCATAAAACATGGTGAGATAAATAAGTGCCATGTTAATTTACTCTTACCTTTGTTTCTATTTTTACCTGTCAAATAGGGACAGTCGTTATTATAATTGACAGATTGCGCTTAGCTAACATACGATAGATCCAAGCAACAATTGCCACAATGATGAAACCCAACATTACTGTTGCTACTGACCCTGAAACTCCAACTACAGGGAAAGATACACAGACATACCAACTCTAGCTGCTTTCCAAACCATACACCTATGAGCAAGCACTCAGAGAAATAATACTTACGGATGACATTTCGATGTGATGAATAATTGATTGGGGAAGGTATTCCCACAGAAGGGACCGGAGTTACTTGAATCACAGACATCATAGGTGTAGGATATGTTGAGCTTTGGGATCTCTCATACACTGACGAGGTTGGAGTCGTAATGTTGACTTGTTTCGAGCAGGTCACTATGTCATCACTAATTGTTTCATCACCGCATTCTGGGGATTGTAGAGTTAACAAGTTCAGTGGTGCTGAGCAACACGCGTCCTTGTTCTTACAGCTACAGTTCAGGTTTGGCGGTGTTTCAACAGTACAGGGCGTGTCTGTATACCTGCAATCCAGCCTGCTCCGGCCTGTATTTGTGATGTTTGTTCCAATCACTCTAGCCTGGGTACTGTTGCGGATCTCTATACCATTCCAACCTGTCTCGTTCACTAGTGAGCAATTAACTGTGGTTTGGGAAGAATTGAAAATCTCAATTCCATTCCATCCTGTGCTGTTTACAGTTGAACAATATATCACCGTAAAGTTTGTCTGTCGTATTTCAATTCCGTTCTGACGTGTTTCACTCACAAGCATATCAGTAACTTTTGTTGCGAAAGAATTGAAAATCTCGATTCCATTCCAACCTGTGCTGATTACAGTCAAACATGATATCACCGTAAAGTTTGTCTGTCGTATTTCAATTCCGTTCCGACGTGTTTCATTCACAAGCATATCAGTAACTTTTGTTGCGAAAGAATTGAAAATCTCGATTCCATTCGAACCTGTGCTGATTACAGTCAAACATGATATCACCGTAAAGTTTGCTTGTCGTATTTCAATTCCGTTCCGACGTGTTTCATTCACAAGCATATCAGTAACTTTTGTTGCGAAAGAATTGAAAATCTCGATTCCATTCCAACCTGTGCTGATTACAGTCAAACATGATATCACCGTAAAGTTTGCTTGTCGTATTTCAATTCCGTTCCGACGTGTTTCATTCACAAGCATAACAGTAACTTTTGTTGCGGAAGAATTGAAAATATCGATTCCATTCCATCCTGTGCTGATTACAGTCGAACATGATATCACCGTAAAGTTTGCCTGTCGTATTTCAATTCCGTTCCGACGTGTTTCATTCACAAGAATATCAGTAACTTTTGTTGTGGAAGCATTAAATATCTCGATTCCATTCCAACCTGTGCTGTTTACAGTAGAACATGATATAAATGTACAATTTGTCTGTCGTAGTTCAATTCCATTCCACCCAGTGCTATTGATGAAGGTGTGCAATATTTCAGTTTTTGATGAGTTCAAGAGGTCGAATCCGTTCCATCTGGTGTTATTCACAGTGGTGTTACATATTCTGGTATTATGTGTGTTTTGCAGAGTCAATGCTGTCCAGCCGGTATTCTTCAAGCTGCAGCAAGATATGTTGGTATCTATGGTGTTAAGCAAACTAACTGCAGTTCTGGGGCCATCAACAACCACCTGATGAAGAGTGACATTTTCTGTGCCTTCAAAGGATATACCTACATTTTTCAGTTCAATTCCAACGATGTAAACATCAACAGTGTCGATAAACTGCAACAGATAACGTGCGCTACTAATCTGCACTTGAGGGTTTGACTTTCTTTCAGTGTCTCCTTCGAGGGTGATGCACTCAATGTTTCGTGCGACAAAAGACCTGGTGATGACGTGTATTCCAGGGAGAAGCTTGAAGACTGTGTTGGAGATGATGTAGGTACTGGAGCTGGTAATATACTGGTCCAGAGTGAGGCAGGGCTGTCCGGGACAGGAGATACCAGCAGGCGAGGTTGGAGTCACATAGTTGACTTGTTGGGAGCCGCTAGCTGCACCAGTGGATGAGACCAAGAGGGTCAGACACAGCACCAAGGACAAGATACCAACATTCATCCTCGAACTGTACAGATACATCACTTGTGAACTGCACAAACAACAGCAGTCTTTATATACACCCTTTACTAGAAGGAACTAGAAGCCCCAAAATCAGTTGTTTGACTTTTATCAACTGCCAGTGATGTGTACATAGAGGAGGGTGTGAGTATACAAAACAGTATGTTTCAGTTTCCAGCTTTCTTTTTAAGTCAGCTTTTACTGCATGTTGTGCTGTATTTGACCCACAGCCATAGACTCCAAACAACTCCTTTACCGAAAGTAAAGATTGTTACATTCTGGTTTGGGATGACATAATCTGGAATAACGTAATATATAGAGAGTGAAGTTGTGAACGTAAATATCAGTAAGAGTGATGTCATCTTCCAGAACAATGTCAGCAGAAGTCACTCCATGTGGGTAAACCCTCTCATACTGTCTCATACTTGTAGTGGAGCAATAGAAAGTGTAGAGAATGGAGGTGGGGAGGTGAATGCTGCCACTCCAAGAGATCCTGACTGCTGTGGCATTCACTGGGAACAATCTGACTCCTTCTGGCTTATATATAGGTATTGGCAGTAACAACTACTGCATGTACGAAACACACTTTACTGCAGTAAGAATCAAACTTGATTGGAAATCCTGTTCATTACCATCGAGAATTACTACAACATGAGTTCAGGTCAGTGATACACTGAACACTGTCACTACCACTGAGATCATTCCCCACTTCGCTGATGTCCACATAGGAATGGTTGGCCAGAGTCTGGCCCATGGAGGAGAGACGGGGAAAGCTCTGAGAGTGGACCTTCACCAGAGACCAGAGGAGACTCAACATAAGTAGATGGTACACCATGGTACATTGTGTCGATTAATGTGTTGCACATGCGCAAGCGTATCTATTACGCGCTTTGCTGGTGGGTTACAATGCACATATTAGGAGATGAAACAATGCCCACGAAAGTAAACATAACTGGCCAAAACTACAAACAAATGTTTCTGTTGGGGTGTACAAACTAACAATATAGTATTGACATTCATAATGTAGCAAAAACAATGTTCGAAGGAGGTCTCTGTGCACAAGCCATGTCATCAGTCACACTGGTTCATAGTCTCCAGCAGCAGTAGTAGTAGGCTGGGAGGTGGTGGGGGGGAGGAAGGTTTTGTGGTACTTCATAATCATCTTCAGCTGTCCTTCCAGTCCCTCTCACTACATCGTAGGCCTCGTTACTTGTGGTCTGGAGCTGGTCTGGATCTCTGGAGTAAGGCCATCAGTGGTATGGAAATTATATTATGTCATACTAATGTAAGAGTGTATGTTCGTGCCTTGTTTTTGCAGAGTAATTCCCACTGCGACTTCTCAGCACTAGAATCACTACCACTATGACTGTCAGTGAGGTAGCGATTATAAGGACCACAGCCACAGCTACGACTCCACCAATAATGGCAGAAGTGTTATCTGTCGAACTCTCTGCCTGACCAACATCACTTGCTGGAACAAACAAAAAGGATAGTTTCACTATGAAGCAGACTCTCATTTACCACCAGTGGAGAAAAGTATGGGAGTGCTGTCAGTGGTTCCAGCTACATTAATGGCTGATACAGTGAGTGTGTAGATAGTGGAGTGGTCCAACTGGTGGATAGTGTAGGTAGTGCCAGACAGAGGACCACTGGTGCTCTCAGTGCCTCTGTCAGTGGGTCTCCAGACCACCTCCCAACTGGCCACCCTCCCACTGGACACACTCCAGGAGAGGGAGACAGAGGTGGCTGTTATGGAGCTCACTGACACCAACACCTGCCCTGGAGCTGGGACTGGAATAAGGGATTACATTTAGATGAACTGTAGGACCCTATCTCTCTCTTACTTAGTGTGATTTCATATGTGGTGGCATCACTGAAGAGGTGTTCAGATGTAGCTACAATGGATATGGTGTAGGTCTGTCCATTGGTGAGACCAGTCAGAGTGTAGCTGTTGGTAGAGCCACCATCAATATCCACATCACTGCCGCCAGTGTAAGAGATCCTGTAGCCAGTGGTATCTCCCAGTGGAGGAGGAGTCCAGGTCACTGTGATACTAGTGGGACCATCCTGGACTTATGTCACATGAGTGGGAGGCAGGGAATCTGGGAAGTATAATATTATTACTATATCAATTTAATGCACATGTACGCCTATTGAAACTTTGGTTTTGTAACGGGTGGAGCTCACCAGGAACTAGAGTGACAGTTTCCCACCCCACACTCTCACTGAAGAAATGTTCTGAAGTGCCTACAATTGATATGTCATACATCTCCCCTCTTGTAAGACCAGTCAGAGTGTAGCTGTTGGTAGAGCCACCACTGACAGGCTAACTACCACTGCTGCCTCCAGTGTAGGAGATGGTGTAGCCAGTGGTGTCTCTCAGTGGATCAGGTGGGGTCCAGGTCAGTAGGACACTAGTACCATCACTTTGAACCTCAAACATCAGGTTAGTAGGTGCGGAGGCAACTATAGAGAACATTGCAATTGAGATCGTAGTTAAGGCATGTGGAGACAACCAACCTCTCACTGTCAATGTTTGAGAGACCACAGATGGTTTATTGTTGCTCACAGTACAGTTGTACAGTCCTCCCAGTCTCCCAGCCACAGTCAGAGTGTGGGTGTACCTTGCAGTCACTGGGTCATTTAACACAGTCTGGGTTCCTTGGGTGACAGTGGTGGAGTCTCTGGTCCAAGTGACAGTGGTAGCAGGTCCACCAGTGGAGACACAGGTGAGGGTGAACTGAGGACTGGCTCCATTGAGGTCAGAGTCAACCGTCAGTACCACATCTTCAGGTATGGAGACAGAACCTACCAAAATGAATGGTCTTGTGAATATTTTAGTGGTTTAACAGTATACATACATAACCAGATAAAAATGTTAACCTCAAGCTGCAATTCTACCATTTTATCATGAAAGATGGTATTTACTATATCAGCGCTATATTTTGCCGCAAGCAACACATACCTCCAGTGCCAGTATACAGTCCCATATAGACTGTGTCTCTCACCGAGATGTCAGTATCATCATGGACAGCATTAGTTGGAATATCACAGCGATAGATGCCAGTTGGTGAGGTGGCAGATTTCCTACGACCTAGTTCAACTCTCTGAGCATCACGATGCTCGTAGATATTATCAAACAGTATACCAGCAGAGAAGGGCAGTCTAGTTCCATTAGGGAAATACCAGTCTCCACGATGAGGACCCTCAATATTAGTACAGCATGTTGTCAGGTCAGAACGACACTCAACACTGTCGCCACCATCATAATAGTAATGATCTCCCACTTGACTGAGGTCCACATAGGAATGGTTGGCCAGAGTCTGGCCATGAAAGGAGACATAGGGAAAGGCCTGACAGTATACTTCTCCCACAGACCAGCAGAACAACATCAGCCATACCAAGTGAATCACAGCCATTGTTCTCTATTCACACAACTTCTGAATAAACTGTAGCAAGAACCGAAAGGTTATCACTACTACACCATCCACCCACATTGTGGAGAGGGGAATGAAAAGGTGATCTCTTAGATTACTCCTAACAAGAAACAACCAAGTAATTCAACCTAGCTACATGAAAGAGGATTAAAATGGAATAACATTCATAGACTTTGTCAGGTAATTTCCCTGATATATAACACAGAACAGCTATATATGAATGCCAAATTGCAGTTCTATATAGTGTTTAGTCAAGTTTCAATTTCTCTGATGATTATCTCGACCATACTTGATCCGTTTCCCTGGCTGCAGAGTTTTAGTAGTGTGTGTTGCCAAATGTCAGCTAATAGGGAGATTGATGGAAAGCAAGAAGGAGGGGATTATAAAAAAAGATCATCATATCACCCTCACAATAAGGCAATCGTGACCTAGTTGAATGAATTGTGCCAAGCAAATGGTATCGTTTTGCACTTGTCTTCGTTTATTCATAATAATCCATTGGGATTGTGCTCAGTGCGCAGCCTTGAACTTTGTGTCTCTCTCTTATTTTCTACTTTCTCCTTGTGAAAGCATTAGCTGTTTAGTTTCGTTGTGTACATCAAATTCCGGTCTAAGCTCCTCAAACTAATCTCACCCACCAATTTCAATGTTGGCTGTCCCTCGTCGGGACAGTACTCAACGACAAAATCGTTTTTCATCTGGAAACTGAAAACACAACACCTATAAGCTGAGCCACACTTCTTTTGCTGATTCAGCAGGGCGTGGCTACCTTGGTGGAGCCACCATATTCAATCAGAAGAAATGGGACATGACTTTGTTCAATACAACTTATGCTATACGTAACACCACTATCAGAGAGTCGGTAGACTCTCTATATAGGGACGACACGGGTGAAATCTCACGTGATCCGCGTACAAAACGACTAAAATCTCGGTGAGAATCACTCCCTAGGCCTTCAAAACATACTAGCAATAGTCTACGGGCCCATATCTACCTATACATGTCCCCCAAGACCTCATACGCACCTTCAGTCGTCCACGCGAGAATTCGCTCATACGCGATTTCACGATTTTCGTGTCATCATCATATTCTTCATCTTCTTCTTCTTCTTCTTCAGACCCGCTAGCTCCTTACCGGAAGCAGTTGAAGCGTTGATTTTTTCACAGAACGTCTCCAAATTTGCCTGAGGTGTGCATGCATATCAAGCGATCGCAGCCACATGACAACATCCCTATATCTTTGTTTTATTGTTCATAGGCAAAGTTTAATATGAGACAAAGATATAGGGATGGTGTCATGTGGCTTTGTGCATATTTGGTGTGTAATGACCCTTGTTTCTTCCTTTTTGGTGCTTCAAGTCATCCCTATATCCTACTTTCATTTTGAAGAAATGATTTTTC